CTCCAAATTCAGGAGGGATATAATCAAGGTCATATTTTGGCTCCTGTGGACTTCTTTTAATTGTCTTCAGTTTCAACTTGAAATTGCATATGAACAGTTGATGGTCTGTTCCACAAGCAGCTCCTGGCCTTGTTTTGGCTGAAGATACTGAATTTCTCCATCACCTCTTCCCACAAATGTAGTCAATCTGATTCCTGTGTACTCCACCTGGCAAAATCCACATGTATAGCTGCCATTTGTGTTGTTGAAAAAAGGTATTTGCAATGAATTGGTCTTGCAAGATTGTATCATGTGATCTCCAGCGTCATTTCTATCACCAAGACCATATTTTCCAACTACTGGTGATTCTTCTTAGTTTCCAACTTTTGCATTCCAGTCACCAATGATAATTAACATATCTTGACTGCATGTTTGGTCAATTTCAGACTGCACAAGTTGGCAAGAATCTTCAATTTTCTCATCTTTGGCTTTGGTAGTTGGTGCATAAATTTGAATAATAGTAGCATTAATTGGTCTTCATTGGAAGCATATGGATATTATCCTGTCACTGACATCATTGTACTTCAGGATAGATCTTGAAACATTATTTGTGATGATGAATGCCATGCCATTCCTCTTCAATTTGTCATTCCCAGCATAGTAGATCATATGGTTGTCTGATTCAAAATGGCCAAGACCAGTCAATTTCACTTCACTAATGCCTAGGAAATCAATCTTTATACGTTCCATTTCATTTTTGAACTTCAACTTCAACATTCCATGTTCCAATTATTAATGGATATTTGCAGCTGTTTCTTATCTTGAGTCATGCCACATCAGCAAAAGGAGTTCCTGAAAGCTTTACTCCGTCCACATCATTAAGGCTCTATTCTGAGGAGGCAGCTCTTTCCTAGTCATAATTTGAGTGACTTCCAACCTGAGGGGCTCATCTTCTGTCATTATATCAGATAACGTTTCAAAGCTATTTTTCAATAATATATCAGGCAGTGTTTTCACCGCTATTCGTAAGGTTTTCACTGGCCAATTCTTTGAGAATTTGGGTAGCATTGACATTTTCACAATGTTCAATCTTCCTATCCACGAGCATGGTATGTTCTTTCATTTATATAGGTC